AAACAGGAGCACTCTCTTGGATTTCCAAAATATATTTCCAAAAATCAACGTTTCAACCCTAATGAAGATCTTGATAAAGACCATGAAGGGTTGAAACGTTGATGTAGAGGTGGTGATTTTTTTTTTTTTTTTAAGATTTTGGAAATCCAAGAGCGTGCTCCTGTTTTCATTTTATTTATACTATTGCTGGGTAGCACCCGGCAGTTACTGGTAAAGGTTGAGTGCCAGAGTTGGGACATTTTTTTTGTATGTGTATTGTATTAATGGACGTTCTCAAATAACACTTAGCTCAAAGAAGGAATGCCCTGCAGGAAGCTAATTAGCTCAACTATGAAAATACCCAATTCGGGTTGGCTGCGAACATCACTGTTATGCGCTCTGTGTCATTTTCTTATCACCATTTTTGTAGTTTTAGAAATTGTGATCCACTTGAAAAACGTTATACTATGGTTTTTTTTGTTGTTGTCTTTTTTCAGATGTGGTTAATGAAAATATCTGGCTTTTGTGTTTGAAATGATTGGGTACAAATATAATATGCAATCGAATGGATATTAGGCATGGCTAACTTTTTGTTTGGTTTTTTTCCCCTCACTTTCTTCCTAAAGTAAAACCACGTAATTATTTTTCTGTGGAAATGTACTCATTTTTTCAAACTTTAAGTAGAAGTTAGAGATTGTGGCTGTTTCTATAAAAGAATGGTATACAACTTTTTGAAAGCATAAATTAAATGTATTTATTTTGTTTCCCCCAGGGCCAGTTTAACTTTGTTGATGTCAACATTCAGCCATTGGATTGTGACAGTAACCTGGTCACTCTGCAGTGTAGGAAAGGTACACGCTCAATGCATTTTAGAAAATCTATTACTAATCTCTACTTCACTAACATGGTTTTAATCATTTATTCACCCTTTTCTCTATAGATATGGAAGGTTTGGTTGATATCTCCGTGGCCAAAATTGTGTCTGATAGAAACCTGCCGTTCCTGGCTCGACAAATGGCTTTACATTCAAACGTAAGCGGCTTTAATCAGTTAGATTTATGGCGCTCAGTGAAAGCAGACTTGCAGAACAATTAAATACCATGCTGTAAATGTTTCTTAATGAGCGTTTGAATTTCAGATGGCCTCGCAAGTCCACCATAGCAGATCGAACCCCACTGATATTTATCCTTCGAAATGGATAGCCAGGCTACGGCACATCAAGAAGATTAGACCCAAGGTAGATTGACTGGGAGTGGAGAGATCTCACAATCTTTTTAAAGGGACTCTGTGCTCTTCTCAAGATCTGCATATATTAGACTTGCAAGTACATTTGCATCTCCATGTTATATCCTCGACCACTGCGGAGACTAACTTAGAAATGGTCCTGCTTTTTTAGGTGACCTAATCAGATGTGTTATGTTTTCTTCTCGTTCTATGTGCTTTGGGCACATTGCAGAGAGCACTCTAATGGTTTTATTTTTAGGTTTTGTCTTCAGTGGTGTTTTTTGGTTTTGTGATTCTTCCCCCTCCCCCCTCCCCACTTGGTTGTAAAGCATTTGTAGACTAACAAATGACAAGTGCAATCTGACAAGGGATTCTAAATCAAGCAGAAATTTGGGATTTTAGAATCTCTAGTGTGAAACCACCATGGTAAAAATCCCCACAGGATGGGCCCATCTTTTGAATTTGTAAAGAGTTTATTTACATAGTAGGCTCTTACAGAATTAAGTTTGTATTAAATCTTTTTTTCCCCTCTTTTCTAATTTAGATCCACAACGAGCTGTTGGAGATGAATGCGAATCTGCCCTATCCAAGTTATGTGCTAGCTAACAAGCAACCCCCACCAAGTCCAATAAATCCTAACGGACCTTTTGAAACTGGACAGAGAACCAGGCTAATTTCGGGTGTAGACGACTTCACGGAGTTTGCGTAACTTTTTAGTCAACAAGAGACTGTTTAATATTACTAATCCAGTAGTTGTGCAGAATCGAGAAAATAATTGCAAATTGTAGCCCAATAGAACCAAACTGGCGTTTTTTCCAATTTTGGTTCTTTGTCCGTTTTATCTTGTCAACTTTCAGCAATTCACAGTTCAGTAAATAGACCTGTAAGATCTGAATGAATGGTACGCGGGAAGCTTGGCCAAGAGACTGCAAATGTGTGGATTTACAACGTTTCTCCAGACTTCTAAACACTGTGAGGCCCTAAATTACAAAACCATGCTGAGATTGTCTGGGAAATCTTTTTCAAATAAGACTCTCTAAATATAAATTTTCCAAATATTTAAACTCCAAGCATTAACTTATTAATGACCGGTTATCTATGAAGTTAAAATGATTTCCTCGTTCTTGATAACAGTTTAGTTTTTCTTTTTGCAGTGAGAGGAGGTCTTTCTGTCCTATAAGGACATTGAAAGTGCAATTTTTTAATTGTGTGGATTTTTCCTGTCTTCTGTACAGTTCTGAATTAAAGATAAGTGAACATTGTTTTGGTGTCGCTTGCTTAATGGTTTATAGTGTCAGAAGTACCCCGGCCCTGTTTTCTAGTAGTGGGGCAAACCATTTTGCACAGAACAAACGTTTGCATTGGCTAATGATGACGCAAAGATGTGACACCTCCAACAACAAAGGGGTTAAACTGTGTCTGTACATGCAGTGTTTTGCCTTGAAGCCCTGCAAACTCCAGTCACCATGACCACTTTAGGGCAGTGTAGTGGTCATGGTGTTTGGAGGTAAGCCTTTAAGAGACATGTTAGAAATGGTTTAGTAGTGGCTGCTGCCATTGACCCAGTTCAATAGAACAAATTGTTTGACAAATATATAAATGTCAAGTTATCCACTAACGTGTGCAGTAAAGACTGTCCAGAAATGTTAGACCAAACTGGCTTTACTGAAAATTTAAAATTTCATTGTATAACTTGATGGTGTTGGGGAGCGAAATCTAAATGCACAAACTCTTAAGTTGTGAGATGGAGCCATTTCTGTCACTTCAGGCCTGTAGTATCCCTTACAGATAATGTTTAAATTCTTCATGAAAAGAGGTAAAGTGGAGGCCTTTTAAAACCCCAGTAATGACAAGTCTGGCATGCGTTAAGTCTATTCTATGTTTTTTTTTAAAGAATGTCATGCCCACGCTTCCCACTGCTGGATGCAAGTGGAACATGGCGTGCTTTTATTCACAAATGCGCGTTTCCTTGACAATCCTGCTGCTTTACCTCTGCACGCCGTCAGCTGTGATATTTTATCCCTCTGCCTGACAGAGGGAATGCTGCATGGCTCCCAGAATTCCATATGCCAATGCAAAAGCCTGACGTTCTCCAGTCCCACTCTCTACCTTCAAACATCAGAGGAATGACGCATTAAACAAAACCGGAGTGGCCGTACTGCATTCTGAGAATGACCTTTACTTAGATTTATTTAATTCTGTATTTAGTGCACTATGTTGGGAGATTGTGTTCCAATGCTTCTTTTTGGTTTTCAAACTTGGTGATTTTTGAATATCATTGTCCCCCCATAAAACATTAACGGGTATACCTATATCTGAATCCATAAGCTTTCTGTGTATAAGTCGCTGATTGATATAAAAAAGAGGCGAAATCCTTGTGCAGTCAGTCTTTATTTAATGACTTTGTCCTTACAAACAGCATTACTTTATGCATTTACCAACAAAAAAAAGCAATAATAATGGCTTCACTTGTGGGATGGGAATAAGATCTCTTAAGGGGATGACCCTCCGAATAAAGCTAGTTCACCTGCTGTAGAGATCTGACATTTGAATAACACTGAGCACGCATACATTCAGCAATAAATAATCACAGCGCCTGCCCATGTGACTAACGCTAACATACAGTCTCAGCCATTGCTCGCACACAGGCCATTGGTAGCAGGAGATAAGTGCACATTTAAACATTAGCAGCTGCTGCAGTCACAGAAAAGTGTGACATTTGTCTTTTTACAGAGAGCTGACATTGTGCCCCCTTTAACTAGGCCAGCCCTCCAGATGTTGCTTAACTACAACTCATGATTCTCAGCCTATTTCATTCATAGAATCATGGGAGTTGTAGCTCAGCAACATCTGGAGGGCTGGCGTTTGGAGAAGCCTGCTTTACGGAATAAACCGTGCAGGGATACACAAACTGTACCCTGCAAGTTCCCCAGGTTTTATTAGCGTCCCAAGTTAAAGGGGTCACAATGTCCCCTTATTTTACAGAAGGTAACAGTCACATGTTACCGGTTAAGCCAAGGTACATTTTTCAATTTTTTTTTTTTTTTTTTTTTCCTTTTTAATTATTGTAAACATTAATTTATGGTTTCCTCTTTCCTGTAAAGATTTTATTTTCACTATTCATAATTGCAATTCTGTGCTAAAGTTGGAATTTCTAAAGAATTCTGATAACTTTTTTTTTTTCTCTCTTCTACGCATTAGGTCATATACTAAGTGACATCGCAATCTCATGATCCAATCTTCAGTTAAGCAAAACGTTGTCTTTATATTAGCTGGGAACTGACCTAAAAATGTATGTCTTAGTTTTCTTTTCAATTACAACTTTAAACAAATGCTTTGCATCTTTCACAAATGGATTGACCCATTCTGTGATGAGCAACAAAAAGTGTAAAACTACATAATGCTTACAATTTGAGGCAGCTACAAAATAACACTTAAAATGTATAAATATGCCCAAGTGGCATTTTTTTTTAAATCCCTCCCCTATGGAATTGAAATTACTACTGCCCAATTATCAAAATAAAAAGAACTTGTATCTATAGTGAGCCTGGTCCAGCCATTGTCAATACTGCTAAAAACAAAAAACAAACAAACTACCAACTGGAACGAACATCCGGATTGCATGGGCTGGGCCCCAGATTATCTACATGCTGACAAAATGAAAATGAAACAAAACTCATGATCAATATCCAATATA